TTTTCTCAACCCTTTTATTCCCTTGACAAGAATTCTTTGCTAAAGTTTTTCTGTGGATTTTAAATGTACTCAAAACCTTCCTAGCTTTGAGGGGCAATAGGATATTAAGCCTTGCCTCAAGTATTATTCAATGTTTAAAAGATTAGAAACCTAATTCAGTAACTTTATAAGATGCTGAGAAATCTGGCCAGAGATTTAGGAACCAAAAATAACCTCTTTCTTTTGTATAAAACGTTTAAGCTTTAAGCGTAAGTTTTTGGAAACCATAAGAAACAGATCAATAGACCCAAAAGAAGGAAGCTGACAATGTTTCAAACCCAGTTGCAAGTTGCCAATATTTAATTTTCCATTAATGTTTGCTAGGAAGTCCATGTAAATATTCCAACTTGTCATTTTTTGCAAATAGGGAAGAAAGAATGTCATCAATTAAATTAATTCCTGAATAAGGATGGGAGTGGAATATGGCAATCTTTTACAAGAAAATTGTGCACTGGAAAGTGGTCCACACTAATGGATAGAGTCCTGGGTTCTGGGTTGCTGGCCTGTATTACAGATCACTTATAGGTAGAGGATAAATAGTTGGCATTCTAATAATAACTGCTCTCCTACTAAATCATACCTATCTCTGGAACAACAATGGCTGGTGGCTTTGGCTTCCATTCACATCTAAGAGTGAGTCATCCAGAAGCTACCTCAGCTTGGTTGAGGCCTGCAAATTAGTGGAATCATAGAAGAATAATCTTGGAGACCTAACCATAGCTTTTGGGGGAATTTCCAAACTCTGTACCTACCTCTTTTTTTTGTTGTTGTTTTTWTAAAGCCACTTAATATTTTAAAGAGATGAATCCTCCTCCTTGCTGCCTAGGAAGTAAAATGTGGTTGCTGGTATTCTTGAAGCTAAGTGAAGAAATGGGTCTAAGGGGTTTCATTTTTCTATTTATTTATTTATAAATGACAGCGGAATGCATTATAATTCTTATTACACATATAGAACATAATTTTTCATATTTCTGGTTATATACATAGTATGGTTTCATTTTTCAATATAATGCTTCTCTCCTTATCGCCAAGTCTGGAGGCTCTCTAGTTTGGTTTCTCTAGAAAGTAATGAGAGAGATAAGAGATCCARGGTCTAATTGCTCCTCATACAGACTTTCTGTTGTTCAGCCCTATCTTTCATACCTGCTTTTTGAGATATATGATTATTCCAAAATACTGAGACTTACTGAGGTTCTGCTATAAGAATCAGAGTGCTCCTGATTATACCTCCCCTCTGCATGTGTATACATTCCATTGTGGGGGTAGCATTTTGTGGCTCTGCTAAGTTGATTTCCCTGGAGGCCTCCCTCTTTGCATTTCTTTATTCAGACACCAAGGGCTCTAGATACATATCCTTAATAGCTCTCTTCATTCTTTTTCCTCCATTCCCATTGTTAATGCCTTAATAGAGAGCCTCATCAGGAGTCTTTTAATTTGGGGTGGCAGATAAAATTTTGTTGTTGTCATTACTAGCTACATCCTCAGACCTTTGCATTATTAAATTTTGAGATAGGGTCTTATTAAGTTGTCCAGGCTGGCCTCAAATTTTCAATCCTCCTGTCTCAGCCTACCCAGTTGTTAGAATTACAAATATGTGTGCTGCCCATGCCTGGCTTGTAAGAGAATTTTTAAGATTTTATATTTAGGAAGTTTTTAAGATTTCTATTCTCAGGCTATTCAATAAATTCATCTAGGTAATGCTATAAAGGGATTTGGCAGATATAATTAAGGTTTCTAATCTGCTGATTTTTAAGACTGGGAGATTACTAGGTGGACTCAATATAATCACTGGAAGTCTTAAAAGCAGAAGATGAGGACAGATTCCAAGCAGAGAACAATGTGACACTCTGTTGATGGCCCTGATATGCAGAGGCTCATGTGCTAGGACCAGAGAAAGTCTTCTATGAGCTGATGGTGACAACCAGCTGACAGCCTGGATGGAACTGGAACTCAGTCMTACAAATACAGGGAACTGAGTTCTACCAACAATCTGAATAAGCTGGGAAATGGGTTCTTATCCAAGCCTAATAATTAGAGTCCATGTGGTCAATACCTTGATTTTAGCCTAAAATTCAGAGCAGAAAAATCAGCAAGAGTCAACTTGGACTGCTGACTTATTTTAGAACTGTGAGATAAAAAATATGTGTTTAAATTTTTTTTTGTTTGTAGATGGACACAATACCTTTATTTTATTTATTTATTTTTATGTGGTGCTGAGGATTGAACCCAATGCCTTACACATGCTAGGTAAGCATTCTACCACTGAGCCATAACCATAGCCTCAAGTTTGTGTTGTTTTAAGATGCTGAATTTGTGGTAATTTGTTATGGTAGTAATAGAAAATAAATGTTTCTTGTCTTCTCACTTCAAGTCTTGCCCTTTTTAATCTACTCTCCTAACTGCTGCCAGAGTGAGCTCTTACAGATACAAATCTAATGATTTCAGCTGATGCTTGCTACTACAAGATACAGCTTAAACATATCATCTATATTTAATTTCATAAATGCCATTTATAAAATGTGGTGGGTCTGAGCTTGGTTTATATTGATTTTATGAGTTCATATTTCCTTTTACACATGATCAGTCATCTCTCTCAGCTAGTATTTTAAGTGGTCATCTGATAAAGAAACAATATAGCACATTTAAAAATGGTTGGAGTGGGCTGTAAATTCAGTTATGAAGGGAATTACAATCATGTAAGAAAGAGAAGATAAATAACAAAAATGAGAAAAGTGGAGAGGATTGGAAGAAATATTGAAAAAAATAAAATAGGAATGTTTTTTGACATTAAGTGTGTGTGTATATATACTTTTGTAGGTTGGCATGTATGTACATATATGTACAATGTATACACATACATTTCATTTGTATTTGTTATATAAAGTATGGGAAAATTCAACTAGTACAGAAGAGTTTAGATACAAAGCCAAAACTGACAACTTATGGATAAACCCAATCATTCAGAGGGTTTTATTTGGCTTAGAAAGTATTTTATTTTTAAATCTGAACTTAAGTGATTTTAGATGGGTTATGCACTTTCCAATTTGCCACCATCTCAGCCCCAACGTCATCCTTTTCTAGTTTTAAACCTGACCTTATTCATTCATTCAGGTTCTTGTTTTGTTTTTAGTCATGAATTTGTAATTCTGGCATAAAACATAAAGTGACTCTCACCTTCACAAACTACCTAACTTTATGTCCTAAAGAAAGATTTCTCAACAGTAGCACTATAGGCATTCTAAGACAGAAAATTCTTTAGGGATATAGACCTATTTACAGAAGGATTTTCATGAGCATCTTGGAATTGTACCCACAAGATAATCCCTAGTTGCACTCTGTAGTCATGACAATTGAAAGTGTCTCCACAAATTGCAACCCTGGTGGGGGGGGGGGGGCGGCAAAATTGCCTCTAGTTGAGAACCACTGTTCTAGAGAAACCTCTAGTGAGTTTCTAAGGTGTCCTTCCAGAGAATTTCCAGGTCAAAACTGGCAAGTAGGTGTTTGTATTTCTATCATTATTTTAATACTTATTTTTATTCTTATCATAAATATCATTCCTTGTTATGACATATAGATGTACCTGATGCCATGCACTGAAACAGTTGAAGACATTTTCACTGAATGGAGCTATCTTTATTTAATCATCCACGCCCCATACCATTGATTTTTTTTTTTTTCATCTGTAAAGTGATGGAATGTAAGGATAGGAATATGTTACAGGTGTATAGAGACAGCAAGAAATGAAGGGCTTTCTCTGCTATTGCTACTGTTTGGTTTATTGTTCTGTAATCTCTTCCAAAGTGCAGAGAGCAGATAACTACTTTTCCTGATAATCCTTGCTTCATGCTAAGAAAAGAATATAAAGAATTTGGATTTCAGATCACACCAAAAGATATTTGAGTGAGACAAAAATTATTGTGATATCATGAAAGGAAAGTAGATGTACAAAGGATTAGAAAGGGTCCTGTAATGATAAAGGCAAATGATAACAAATGTGTGACAGCTAACCTTTTTATTTCAGTTCCAATCATGGTAGTTAACCTTCCGTTACTTTGAAAGTGATGGTATTTCAAATAAAACCAGCTACCCTAATGCATGGCACCTGCAATTCATGCCACATGAGTGCAAGGCAAAAGAGATGGGGCCAAGATCATGCTGATGTTCTAAGAGTGATTGTCTTCCTGTCGTTAATAGGCTTAGCAGGTCACAGGTTGCACTAACCTGTGACTCTGGCCTCTCGATTGATGAGTGGGACCCATGATGAGCTAGATCTGGACAATCTGATGTTGTTGTTTTTTTAAATATATTTTTTAGTTGTAAGTGAACACAATACCTTTATTTTATTTTTATGTAGTGCTGAGGGCTGAACCCAGTGCCTCACGCATACTAGGCAAGCACTCTACCACTGAGCTACAACCCCAGCCCCCAACCTGATCTTTTCCAGTGAATTTTAGCAAATTCATTAAATATCTAATTATGTTGCTGGATTTTATGTATAGACTTTTCTTAACTCATCAAGATTTCAATAGTGATTACATAAGATGTCACAGATCTCTTATAGAAATAACTATGAAAAATAATACAATACAAAAGAAAAAAGGAAAAGAACTCATACCGTTTGGTACTATTTAGTTTGTTTTGTTGCTTTGTGATCTCTTCCAAAGCAAGGATGGGGCTGCAAAATAACTGCCCACTTTTTCTTATTATCCTTTGCTTCATGGAAGTTAGACTACTCCATTCTCGAACAAACCGCAAAATCTGGCAGAAAAATGAAATAATTTTAAAAGAGTTAGCAGCTCACTGGTCATCTTCCTTTCAGAATAAGGCTGTTAACAACACGAGAAAATTGATGTCTTGTTATATCCCTGAAACAGGCTTTTGAGTTCCACAATTTAAGGCTTGGCTTAATACAGTTTTTATACCTTTATTGTAAATTATCTATGACTAGCACACCTGGTGTATATCATTAATATACACAGGAATCAACAATGATAATGTGCTCACTGAGAAAAATCTAGAAGCACATACCCTAGCAGCAGCCAAGGCAAAATTGGTCTTATGGACAGTAGGTCTTGCAGTGGTGGCAAGAAAATGATTCTATCTAAAAAATGCGATCATATAGCATCCGAGAATCATTTTGTATCTGATGATTGAGTTGCTATGGGGAAAAAGAAGTCATAAAATCTGGGACATTTTTATCAGCATTGCTCTTACTTATTAGTCAATCATACGTAACTAGTTATTTTTTTGTAGGGTGAATTTGAGAGTCAGGATTATATATTATCAAGAAAATAGCTTGTTGCTTCCTTTTCCTTTATAACAGGTATAGCTGACCACTGGGTAATGCTTCATTTCCATTCAAAAGGTTTAAAAAAATCACTATTTTCCTGTTTAAAAAAATAGTAATAAAGGTAGATTGCATGCTGGATCAGTCTTACAACATGATGACCATTAGCAGTGAAGGCAAATCAGTCACAAACAAGCAGAAGACCTCCCTGGCAGTTACCTAGCTTGGAGCTTCATGCTGGTGCTTCTGACAATGAATCAAGAGTTGCCCCATGTRGGGGCTGGGGTTGTGGCTCAGTGGTAGAGCACTTGCCTAGCACATGTGAGGCACTGGGTTTGATTCTCAGCACCACATTAAAAAAAAAAAAATAAAACAAAAGTATCATGTTCATCTACAACTAAAAAATATTAAAAAAAGAGTTGCCCAATGTGTGATTATTCCTGCTCTCAAAATTTGTCATTGTTAGAACTTAACTTTAAAAGATAAAATGTGATTCTGACAGATACAAATAACACAGTTGCTAATCCTGTGAATGAGAAATTAAATGATGCGAGGATGATTCTATCTACAGAAACAGCAGCTCTAGGTGTGATCGCTCGCCAAGGAAACAGATTTCACATTTATTCTTAGCACAGGGCAATTAATAGACACTGCCTAGATTGATAAAAAATGCAACCAGCAATTTGATTCTGCAATAGGCCATGAAGCACTATTTTACTAAACTCAAAATGATTGCTAAAATTCCTAAAACTAATATAACTATTTTATTTAAAACTGTTCTTACCAGTGAGCGATTCTGTTTCAGTTGAAAACTTGCTGGTAAGTCTTCCCAAAGGTCTAATTTTATATCCAAAGGAATGAAATTACAGTTCATCTGTTTTCCATCCTAATTATAGATTAGGAAGACATTATTAATTCATTTTTATCATAGATGCTAGAAAATAATTAATTATGGTGTAGTATGTCTAAACTCCTAAAAGATTACTTGGTGGCACATTCAAGAGTCTACTCCACATGGCTCCTTAGAAGGATGGAAAGGTGAGWGTGTGTGTCCACGCTGCCCACACCTAGCCCAGGCCTGCTGCCTTCAGCTAGGGATGCTGTGCTTACTGCCCTGTCTTACTCTTCTCTTTTGCCTAATCTTGGAAATATATACCAAAACAATGAAATTTGTACATTGTCAATTGATTCAGAACAATATCACTTCCTTGAAGTCAACAGTAGTGCAACACTTTTTAATTCACAAATAAACTTATTTACAATCATTGGAAAATATGTCTCATATTAAAGAAGGGTACTAAGAAATAATCTAAAAAGCCTTCCCCAGATGGGTTGATATATATATCTATTGTTACAGGAATGAGAAAGTAAATAGAGAAATTCTAGAGAAATTATTAAAACATTTGTTTCCCTAAAGCAATGTTGCAATGTTGGTYCATGAGGACTGAGTCAATGGCACTACCCAGAGAATAAGTGGACCTGAATTCAGAGTCCAATAATCAGTTGCACAATATGCTGAAATTTTAAGGGTAAAAAGTAACCATGTACAGGGCATAGTCAATTGAACATAAATAGAAGTTATTTCTTTTTTAAAGGGGAAGAAGAGTGTCTTATACAAAAATCTATTATATCAATAACATTGAGGTCATATTCTAAGTCTCTTAATCTTAGCCAAAAAGAAATGTTATAGCTCCCACAATCACTTTGGAAAAAAACAAAGTACTTACTTCTTAAAAATTTAGATACATAATTGCAATTTGTAAGGTAATTTTAATATATAAGTCTAAATTCAGATATGTAGTATACAATTCTAAATCCTAGATTTGGGATTATAAATGAAATGAACACAATGGCACAGAATGCTACATATCTGTTACCAATCTGTCTTTAAGGGGTATACTCTTAGGTAGGGAACTAGGGTTTTAAGTCAAATTTCTACTGGTAGATGTTACTTTATTTTTTTAAGGTAAAAAGGAAAGGTTTCATTTCAAACAACTGTAGCTGTGAAAAGACGTGTTAGCATTTTATTTGCACAGTGTCTCATGTTTAGAAAATTATAGCAATTTAATAACTTTAAAAATATCTTTATTTATTTTTATATGATGCGGAGGATCAAACCCAGTGCCTCACATATGCAAGGCAAGTGCCCTACCACTAAGCTACAGCCCCAGCCCTAATGATACATTTTAAGGACATGTAAGCACCTAAAAGAGTCACAAAAATATATTTGAGATTACTGACAGAAATGCCAAGAAGGTGAAGTAAGCCAGGCTACACAAGCTAGATGGCAGAGTGAAACCATCACTGCAGTTTGGTTGATAGCAGGCACAGTCTAGCCTCTACTAGGAATTTTAATTACTCTCCCTGTCTCCACTCCAAAGAGAAAAAACCAGTGATCAGATTGTCCAGGAAGCTGAGCTTTCACTGTAATAGAATAAAATGTTTAAAGAATTTAAGGGCTTCTAAATCATCATGTGTTCCTCTCACATGATGTTCTGAGAGGCACAGCTTAGAGCTCCTGATCACAAGGGATGAGGGTAGCTTAGAAACTTAAATATGTCTGAAAAGGAACAGAGGAGTCCTTGATACTCCCCTGCCAAGCTCACCACTTCTAGACGATCCACAGGGTAGGCCTGGGTCCATGCTTACATGAGGAACATTGACTACTACCTAGGTTGGTTCTTGGTGTCTCTGCCTGTCTGTCTATCTATCTGACTATCTATCTGTATTTGGTTTAGTAGAAAAACTGTAATTGAAAGTTTGGTTAAACACCAACATAAGTTATCATTTAAAAAGCTTTTTTTCAACAGAATGGACCATGGCTTAAAAAATTTATGAGTAGTATTACTTTTAAAAATATTTTTAAATTGTTGATAGACCTTTATTTAATTTATTTATTTATTGGAATAAAGATGTTTGTAATATTCATGCTATTGGAGGCTATGTATGACTCAATATAAAATACTATATTAGAGAAGTTTATAATTCATTCTGTCTTCTGCTTCATAGGCAATATGGTGTAGAAGTTATAAAAAATTTACTTTTTTTTTTAGTTGTCAACAGATCTTTATTTTATTTATTTATATGTAGTGCTGAGAATTGAACCCAGTGCCTCATACATGCCAGGCAAGTGTGCTACTGCTGAGCCCCAGCCCCAGCCCATGAATATTATTTTAATTTACAAGGATTAGAAATTTGAAATTGTAGAACTAATAAAAGTATTTAAAAACTCTGTGAATTTTTCCTCAAATATGGACAAAGATTCCTATGTGGTCTCCAAGACCCTCTCAGGGGTCCACAAAGACACAAGTGCAGTTGTAATAAAAGTAGGATATTATTTGCCTTTTAAACTCTCATTATATCTTTATCAGATGGTGAAGTTTCCCAGCAGCTACCAAGATATAGTACAACAAAACAAATGCAGAGGCAGATATAAGAATACCATTATTTTTTATTGAGACTTTAGAGAGAACTGCCAACAGTGAAAAAAGTACCTCTTTTCTCAATATTTTTCTGTTTTGGAAAATATAAATTATTTTTCATAAAACATGTTACTTATATAAATATATAAAAATATTTTAAAAAGTAATAATACTCATAACTTTTTAAAGCCATGGTCCATTCTGTTGAAAGAAAGCTTTTTAAATGATAACTTACGTTGGTGCTAACCAAACTTTCAGTTTAAGTTTTTCTGGGTTTACTGTCATTACTTTTAAATGGATTAATAAGTGAATATTTTTAAGCATCTTCATTTCAATTTTTTTTTGGAGGCAATTAGGAAGACCCTATCGCAAAATGAGAAATAAAAAGGACTGGGGATATAGTTCAGTAGTAAAGCACCATGGGTTCAATGCCAAGTACCAAAATAAATAAAAAAAAAGAATCTCCATTCAACTTCCAGAATGCAGTTACCTGCCAGCCTCCAGCTGCTTCACCTTTGGGATCCACTACAGTGTTAGAGCTAAGGCTGCCTCCCCTTTCTTTTCTAATTAGAGCATTATAATTACACCTAGTAGTTGGGTTCATTTTGACAAAATCATACATGCAAGGAATTTGATTTTCATTTTTATTTTGAATACAGTAAATATCAATGCAAACAAAAGCTCTTTGGAGTCCCTCAACAAACTTAAGGAGTACAAAGGAGTCAGAAACCAAAACGTTTGAGTGCCACTAATATAGGCTATGGCAGGAATCTGAACAATCATATACAAAAGTTTCCACCTTTATTTTGTATGGAGAAGTGAGTTAGGCTTCTGTAAAGAAGTAGTTGCTTTGGCTGCTTCAAATGATCTGTGCAGGAATAAACTTATTCAGAGTTCATGAGGATTGGACAATGGGCTAGGTTTTTGATAGGACTTAGCTCATTTTATCCTTGAAACAAATCCCCTCCAAAGTTTATAGATGAGGAAATTGAAGCACAGAGCAGTTAAGTGTCCAAGATGACAGTAAAAGATTTGAACTGAGACAGCCTTATCCTGAAGTAAATGCTCTTAGTGACTAATTTTGCCTTTGATTTGTCTTTAGATTTAACACAGGAATTTGATAACTATCTTTAAGGAGAAAAAAAAAACTAGCTGCCTACCTTATTGTAAATAAAATTAAATATCTCCATTGAAAAATTTAAAAAGGAAGCCATTTTTATGTTTCAAGCTACAGATTCTGCATGATGCTTACCTTAGTATAGAGGTGAATCCGGTCAGTATTCTTACTTGCACAAAACATTAAGGTATCATATACTGGCAGAATGTCTGAACTCTTCAACTGCTCTAATAAAGACAATGAAAGAAAATCTTAAGGCTTGTCTGCCCTCTACCTAAAATAGCTTAAAAAAAAAAACTTTTACAGGGTAGAATGATGAAATAGCCTATATTAAAAATATCAACATATTTTACAAAGAACATGTTTGCAGGCTTGAAGTAAAACTCCCAAGGTAAGTCATCCAAACATCAGCATCTGTGGTAACTGTTTGCTTTTCATTTTTGCTAATGACTCAACAAGAAGCAAACTCAGAATTAGCTGAAAAGATAAAAGTTAGGCATAAGGGACACTTTCTTGCCACCAGGAGTTGTTACCAGTCTTGAAGGAATTTTAAATCTATTCCTTTTGCTAGTGTATATTGAAGTTGAGACTGAATGGGCACCACTTTGATTACTGGTAGCAATACACTAGATTGAGGGCCAGCTAAATACCTGATTTCCTATGGCCTGGTGCCTCATATTCACAAGAAGAGATGAGTTATAAAAGTGTATTTTCTGATAATTATTTAATCTTTTCTCAGTCCCACTGTCCAATATTCTGCAGGAGAGAAGATTATCAGATCARGTCTAAATAATAATTATAGTTAATACTTATCAAGAACATACAATGTACCAGGCACTGTTCTAAGTACTGTCCTCAGTACATCTCTCACAAATAAATAGTGCATTGTAGATTGTGTGTATGTGTGTATGTGTATGTTTGTGTGTTTTGGTGGTATTGGGGATTGAACCCAAGAATACTCTACCACTGAGCTACATTCCCAACCCTTCTTGCTTTTCATTTTGAGACAGGGTCTTGTTAAGTTGCCCAGGCTTGCCTTGAACTTGTGGTCCTCTTGACTCAACTTCCCGAGTTGCTGGGATTACAGGTGTGCACCACCACACCTGGCAATAGTGCATTTTAAATAGAAAGAAACCAAGGCATATTAACTTGCCCAAGGTTACATCACTAGTAAGAAGATGTAAACTCAGTAATCTCACTCTAGAGCTGGTACTCTTAACTCAGCCAGATTTCCTTAGTAACCTTTTAATTACTTTCCAGATCTGGAAGTGTATGATTTGTCTGCCATTCCACTTGGTAATGTCATGGCATTGGCCATTTCACAAATTTGGTTTATGGCTTATTCCTATACTTCATAAATTTAAAAATGTACTTTAATAACTCTGAAATTGATGTGTCTTATGAGTCTATAATAATAATATCTGCTTCTCACAATCATTGCTGGCCAGGTGGCAGTTGTGAAGTTGGTATCATTGCCTAAGCATGTATGAGCTTAGTTAGAACTATAATACTATTGTCACTTCAAAACTGCACATGAGGTRCATGCATTGTTATTACTATGTATATTGATTTTAATTGACTTCAAGATGTCTTCAAAAAATTTCACTATGATTTGGTATCAAAATGAAAAGTCAGCATAGTTCAAAAAATTTGAATATAGAGCAGGAGAATGTAGGTTTGATATTTAAAAAGCAAATATGTATTGCTAGGGAAATAACCTCAATTTCTTACTTTCTTGCAAAAGAGTGACTGAATGCTTCATGGGATCTAAGAAAAAGAGATGCCTTCAAATAGAAGAAGCTGTCTTACATGTGGTTACTGAGATGTTCAAAAGGTTTGCCTCTTACAATGCCAAGCAAAGCAACTGGAGACATGAGATAATGCCACGTCCCCAAAGTAAACAAATGAACAAAAATGTCAAAATGAACAGATGATGGTATGGCCAGGTCTAGACTATCATAAACATATTTTGTCATAGTTTAATTGGCAGAGTTTTTCTTGTTCTTAATGGTCCATAAAATMAGTAATGTGTCTTAATAATTAATGTGTCTTCAACTTTGATAAACTATGCTCAAGGATCAGAAGTCATTCTTTGAGAAAAAGAATTATAAGAACCCCAAATCAGTTGATATTCATTCTTGGTAGCTGACAACTACATTACAGGAATATATTTCTCTTTTCAGTGTTCTTATGAAAGGTAATTTTATGATTCAAAAATACAGATGATGTATTCCAGACCTCAGGAATTCCAGTTAGAACAAAACTATTGTTCCAGAGTATTACTCTGGTTCTAAAACAGCAAATATCAGAAGAATAAGCATTTTAACTTAGTGTGCCTTTATTGTCTTCTTTTTATTTCTAATTCACATTAGTGGGAAGATGTGAAGCCTATGACTTATGTGGAATTATCATCCCAGTGATCTGAAAAGTCAAAAACAAAACCAAACAAAACAGGGCTAGGCAAAGGGGAAAATGCTGGCATTGTCTAGAATGGATAAGGCCGATGTAAATTTCACTGTCTGAAATGAATTTCTAAGCCTGGTGATTTTTTTTTTTAAGTACTGTCAGTATAAGCTAAAACATGTCTCCATCAAGAGACCAATTTATAGCTAACAAACCAATGTTTCCCTGTCAAAGATGAAGACTCTTGGCCCAGTTGATAACTGCCAGATGATGATGCTACTCTATAGTCCACTAAGCTATATGCTGTCCTACATCCAGAGCTTCATCAGCACTTAAGGTTTTATTTGCAGCAGGAACAAGGAACCTGGACATAAGAGTATATGCCACCTGAGTCTATACTGTCTATTTAAAGGCTGCTAAAATTAGACCTAAGCAGGATTCACTTCAATATATTCTTGGAAAGCCCTTGAGGAATTGAAGGAATTGAAGGAGCAAAGGAAGAAAAGAGGATGATTTGAGCTCAGAAATTCCTTAATGAACATTTCATTTTAAAGCTATGAATCTGATTCTAAATTATATCAGTGTTTAACAACCACAAAGAATAAAWATTTCAGCAGTCTCATCCCAACAATTTTGAGTTGGTTTTAATAGGAATATCAATCTGTAGGTTACTGTGGTCCCTAAATGAGTAACAAGAAAAACAACCAAAAAGTGCTCACGGATTTTTGCCAGCTGGTGCATAAAAGATAGTGATGTATGACTACAGGCTGGTATTTGCTAACTATCACAGTTATAAATAATGAATGGAATCAAGCAACAAATAAATACATCTGAAACACTAGATGGTTGGTTCCAAGTGTAGTTATGATTCATAGAGTTTTAAAAATTACATACCTTAAAAACAATTTCTCAAATAAAAAAATGCCAATTAAGTGTAGCCATTTAAAAGCCTCCATATATAAAGAATTAATGATTTATTAAGGAGTTCTTTATCTGTCAATCTTAACTATTTTTCCAAAAGCACCACCCCAAAATCAAAACAACACACTCCCAGTGTGAACAGGCTAGGTTTGGTTGAGGCAGAGCAACAGGCTTGGTGGCAGCACATGTAGCAATTTATTGGTTTTGCTCCATGTGTAGTATATGAATGCCAAAAGACACACTCTGATCTTCCAATCATCTGGTGTTTAAGAATATGGTTATGAATGGTTGGCATTTTTAATGTAAAAGGGAATAAAAGGCATTTGGAATAAGGCATCAATCACAAATCCAAAATGATACTATGTTAAAATATATGGTTATTATTTTGACACTGTAAATAGAAACAGGACTTACCATTACCTGATTGGGCCATGAGCTTGTCTTCCCTCTCAACTTCTGACATTTCTTCCTTGCTATTAGCCAACTGGTTAGGGTCAGACTGTGCAATGACTTGTTTGTCACAGTCTAAGCTAGCTTGTACTTTTTTGGAGATGTCTATTTGAGAATCATCTTCTTCATTTTTGTTTTTGTCCTGGATATGGTTGAGGCTGTCTATTTGAAGAATTATTAAGATAAAATAATTTATACTTAAAAGTGTAGTTAAAAACGTTATAGCTAGGTCTTAAACAAAGAAAAATTAGTTAGTGTTTGTTCATTCTTTCAAAATGTTTACCAGCAGTCTACTATTTCCCCAGAACTAGGCTGGAAAGACAATAAGGAATAAGAAAGATAAATCCAAAATCAAAACAACACACTCCCAGTGTGAACGGGCTAGGTTTGGTTGAGGCAGAGCAACAGGCTTGGTGGCAGCACATGTAGCAATTTATTGGTAGCTCAATCTACATAGGTTTTTAGCATATAGAGAAAACTGGGGAGAAAATTTGGGTATTTGATATGACWGTGGTGAYTAGCCAGGAGTTCTATTCTGGACATGTTATGTTTGAGATTTCCATTAGACAAGTAGGTGAAGATGTTACATAGGCCATTGTGCTGGAGACGGACAATAATGTAAGCAAATAAATAGTGKATCTTCACATAAAGAGAACCAAACTGAGTCTTTGTGAGTACAGGCACTGGAGATTGGGGAAGGCAGTAAAAAAAATGTTGGAATTAAAAAGAAAAACATTAAAGAGAAATATTAAAAAATTACATAGAGCAAAAGTTGTCAGGGTCAAGTTCTCAGAGGAATTCCACTGGATCTGAGAGCTGGTTATGAACCTAGAAGCCTAGCTCAGGGCTTGCATTTTTGGATTAGATACTAAGTGTATCTAATACCATTAGATAGTTCTAGGCAAAGGAATAATAATGCATTATTTAAAGGACACTGTGGTTGCTTTATATAAAAGGATCCCAAGGGGGTGACTAGAAGGGAGATTCCTGAGGTTTGGGACAAAGATGATGGTGGGTTTTGGGTAGAATGGTGACAATAAAGAGAATGTAGCTGGAATCAAGAYTTATTTTAGAGGTTACTTAATGGATCAATTATGGAAAGCTCAATCTACATAGGTTTTTAGCATATAGAGAAGACTGGGGAGAAAATTTGGGTATTTGATGTGACAGTGGTGATTAGCCAGGAGTTCTATTCTGGACATGTTAAGCTTGAGATTTCCATTAGACAAGTAGGTGAAGATGTTACATAAGCCACTGGATATATCAGTCTGAAATTCAAGTAGGAGATATAAATTTGGATGATGTGAACTGTAAATTATTAATTATAAACTACAGATGTTAAGAACAAAGCACAAGAAAAGAGCATATTGATAAATATTGGCAATCAATGTTTACTATACCACACATTCTTTAATATGGTAGAGACTGTATTAGCAACCACTACAGATTATAATATTCTAATATTACTCCTGTAATTTCTTGAATTCCACCATGTCCTTAAAGAGTTAGATGGAAGGCACTCTTTTAAAAATTAGATGAAAGATTTGAGCAATAGTTCAGAGGTGAAGAGCTGGCCTAGCATGCAGGAGGCCCAGGGATCAACCCTCAGTATTATACACACATTTTTTAAAAAGTTAGATGATTTGGAATTGATTCTCCTTTTTAATACTTTTGGGGCCCATCAAAATCAAGGTTAGAAATAATTATGCCAAATTATAGTAATTTGAATAATTTCAATTTTAAGTTATGATAATACCACTGTTACTTAGAATACTTATTTCTTTCTAAAAGACTTTCATATTCACAAAAGATAGTTCAGCCAGGCATGGTGGTGCACAACTGTATTCCCAGTGACTCAGGAGGCCAAGGTAGGAGAATTGCAAGTTTGAGACTAGTCTCAGCTATTTAGTGAGACCTTCAGCAATTTAGTGAAATTCTGTCTCAAAATAAAAAAATACAAAGGGGTAGGGATATGGCTTAGTGGTAAAGTGACCCCTGGGTTCAATCCCTAGTAAAAACCAAAACAAAACCAAACTAAACCAAAACAAAAATAACACAAAAGGTAGTTTATCTTCACAAAGGAAGTTTTCTTGAAGTTGCTTATTAAGTTTTAGGTCTAGGAATTTCATTGTTGTTCTTGGTATCACAAAGGAAAAAATCAGAACTATATTAAACTATGATTTTTCTTGCTAAATCAATTAACTTATATACTTAATGTGAACTGACATTATTTTATAGTCACAATATACTTTATTTTTATTGCCTATACCAGTTGCAAATTGCATGGAGTCATGCTAATTATGACAGGGATATTATATGGAATAAGCTTGTAGTTCCAATTTAGTTCACAGACRACAGGTGCCCACATAACAAATATAACCATCCAGATGGCAGACTTGTCAATTTTGGTAGGAACACCCATAAGTAAAAGAGGAAAGGCTTAGCCACTGATTACATCAAAACTAAGAGAGGAGAACAAGACAGGAAGGAAAAAAATGTTTTTCTTTTTTTTCTCTTGTGGTATGGGGGATTAAACTGAGTGGCGTTCTATCACGAAGCTACATCCCCAGCTCTTTTTAAATTTTTTTGAGATAGAGTCTCCCTAAGTGGTGGAGGCTGGTCTTAAACTTGCAATCCTCCTGCCTCTTCCTCCTGGGTCACTTGAGATTACAGGCATGTGTCACTGTGCCTGGCTAGGAAGAAAAGTACTGTAATATCAGAGTCTATATCTTAATTGAATCTTTGTTAATGATAATATTCCAAGAATTATCATATAATGAAAAATTAGATGTAAATAATTATTACCACTGATAAATAAAATGAGCATTTCTAGTTTCCAAAAAATGTTAACTTGGTTTTTTGGGGGGTGGGAACCCAGGGGTGCTTAACCACTGAGCCACATCCTCAGCCCTTTTATTTTTTATTTTGAGACAATGTCTTGCTAAACTGCTTAGGGCCTTGCTAAACTGCTGAGGCTGGTTTTGAACTTATGGTCCTTCCGACTCAACCTCCCAAGCCACTGTGTTTACAGGTGTGGACCACCAAGCCTAGCTCAACTTGGCATTTTTCACTGGATAAAAATGCTCTCTAAAATTGGAAAAAAAAAAAAAAGAATACTAATGATCTTTTTCTTATGATAATCAGGGGCATTGATAACCATATTAGAAACTAAACATCAGGAAATGACATAACATGCTATGAAAACATACTTGAGGTATGTTTATAATTTCTAACTTTAAAATAATATGTTTTACAATCCCTGCAACTTCAGAGGCTGAGGCAGGAGGATCCCAAGTCCAAGGCCAGCCTCAACAATGTTGTGAGGCCCTCGTTAACTTAATGAGACTCTATCTCAAAATAAAAAATAAAAAGAGCTGGGAWATAGCTTAGTGGTAAAGTACCCTGGGTTGAACCCTCTGTACTAAAAAGAGAGAGAAAAAAAAAACATGTTTTACCAAAGAATAAACTCATAAAACATATATCAAACACATTCTTTAAAGCTCTATGGAGGCACTGGGTTCGATCTTCAGCATCACATAAATAAATAAATATACTGTGTCCATCTACAACTAAAAATATATTAAAAAAAAAAAAAGCTGGGCTGGGATTGTGGCTCAGTGGTAGAGCGCTCGCCTAGCATGGGTGGGACCTGGGTTCTCAGCACTACATAAAAATAAAGGCATTGTGTTGCATTCATCTACAGCTAAAAAAAAAAAATATTAAAAAAAAGCTCTATGGAGGAGTTTTTAATTATCTGTCAAGCAACAAAATGGCCCAATGTATACCGAGTAGGTAAAGAACTGAATTATTTTGCTACTTAAACATAAAAATAATCTATAATTTCTTTAAAAACAAATGTATCTAAACAGGAAAGAAAGCAGAAGGTCTACAACTATAAGGCATATTTGCTACCATAGCAACAGAGCTTCTATTTCTGCCCACTGAATTCACATCCTGCTGACATTAATCAGAAATGTCCATTTGTGCCAAATTAATGTCATATCATAGATGCTTGGGAATTCTTGATAAAAATAGGAGTTTTTCACATTCTATGACAGATTCACAGTCTTCACTATGTGAAGTTCTTAATCCATTTTAAAAGCTAAAGTCAGTGCTGAGTCACACTAACCTTTGTTCACAGGAGTTTCTAAGAGCACAGGTTATCTCCAGTCCCCACCTATACAGTCACCTTCCAACATACTCACCAGCACTGCCTTGAGGATTCTCACACATTTCACAATAAGATAACAGTGAATTATTGATATAGGTGCAGAAACCACACTGCCAATCCTTTCCAAGAGGGGTTGGGGTGGTTGTCGGGGACTTGGCCTTATGGACATGTTCCATGAGTTTGGCTTTGGTTTGTCCAGGCCTAGATGGTTTCTCCTCTGGTAGGCTATTGCAGTCATGGGTGGTGACTGATTTCAATCTTTTAGTTTCAGGTTCAAAATTATGTTCAGAATCAATGATATCCCTCGATGCCACTATGGTATTTTTCTCCTGAAATATCCTTGATTCATCACAGGAGGTCTCCAACTGTCTCTTTTTAGGTTTTGGTAAAAAGAATGATTGAATATCATGCTGTTTTTCTTTTTCAAACTAGGAAAATCAAACAGATATTAAATTAAGAAGCAATCATTAAAAAAAAAAAACCACAATCATTTCTCCTAAATGAAAGAGCTTAACCATATTCTATTATCCTGTGAAAACCTTTTTGGAAATGAATTAAATTATACTATGATTTTTCATATATAACACCATTATGACATTCATGTACTTCTTATCTTTTTTTTAGCACTTACTATGTGTCACGCACTTTACATCTATTAACTCACTTAGTCCTCATGCCAGTTTTGTGAGGTAGCTACTATTATTATTCCCATATTTTAGATGAGGCAACTAAAATTTTAGAAAGGTTAGTTAGGTAATGTGGTTAGATAAGCTATGCAATGAAAAATATACTTCATAAACTATCTTAGCCAGATGTATGTCAGAGAAAGAAAGCAATCATTTATTTAAACACTTCAAATAAATCAAGAACCTAAGGTGGGCAGTAACCCTAGCCTGTAATTCCCATGACCCAGGAAGCTGAGGCAAGAARATCACAAATTCAAGGCCACTTGCAGCTACYTAGCAAGCAACTTATTAGTGAGACCCTGTCTGAAAACAAAAAACGAAAATGGCYGGGGATGTAGCTCAATGGCAAAGTGCTTGGGGTTCAATACCCAGTAACCTGCCCCATAAAAAAAGAACCTAGAAAAGTACTTTCATGCCCAAACTATAAACATAGTATTCATAAACAATGTTACTTAAAGTAAAATGTTACCCTGACCAGAAAACATTTGAAAATAGCAGTAAAACTATTAACTGCTTCTTTAATAGAAACATTTAAATAACTATCTTGTTTCTAAGAAATATATTTAATAATTAGCTTATTTCTAAGAAATATACTTATTTTGTCTAAGAACCCTTACAGCATTATCTATATTTTTCATCTTCTTTTTAATGCATAAATCTCAACTTCCTACTGAGAGAAAGTATAACTATCTCCATGATCAATTAGTTAGTAGTTGAGGTAAAGTGTTAATTTTAGAGAAGTCCTGCTATGGACTGAATTGGGAACTATGCTGGACACACATTGTGGCAGACTGTATTTCCAAAGATGACCACATAAATTCTTATCCCATCTCACATGCTCCACTAATGTGGCTCCACTTAGAGGCAAAGTCTATGGTCTTCTTCCCAAAACCTGTGTAGACCTCTGTAACTGTCATATCCCTTAGAATACAATTAAAGTGACACTGTATGACTTCTTAGGCCAGGTCACTGAGGGTAATATGACCTCCACCTCCATGCTGGCCCACTCTCTCACTTTCCCTTTCTCTCTTGGAATGCTTGCCTTTGGAACCTGTCACCATGTTATGGGGAAGCTCAGGCCACATGGGAAAACCATGTGCTGATATTCCAGTGGATAACCCAGAAAGGCCTACAGGTAGCAGCCAGCATCAATTGCCAAACATATGAGTGAACAAGCTTTCAGACATTCTAGTCCCTAGTTTCAAAATCTTCTAGTAAAGGCCACAGTTATCATGGAGTAGATCTATCATCCCTGTTGTACTCTAGTTGAATGTGCATTCACAGATAACCTGAGAAATAATATATGATTTTTTCAAAGACACTAAGTTGTGGAGAAATTGGTTAAAGAGGAATAGATAAAAAAGAAACTATGGGTAATAATAGCAAATAACCAAGTAACTATAAAGAGATATTTTACATAATGAATTTTATCTGTACTACTTAATAGTAATGTATAACAGAGATTTGGCAAATTCATAGAGACAGAAAGATTAATGGTTACCAAGAGCTAGAGAGAAAGGAAATGGGAAGCTGTTGGTAAATGTTTATAAAGCTTCCATGAGGGGTAATGAAAAAGTTTTGGAAGTATCAGGAATGGCTGCACAACATTGTGAATATAATGCCACTAAATTGCATATCAAAAAATGGTTAAAATGGCAAATTTTGTGTTGCTACAATAAAAATATTAAACCCCACCACACACACACACCAAAAAAAAAAAAAAAAGTAAAACATGTATTATTATAGGGACAAGCATGCCGCATTCCTAATAATGTAGAACAACTACTTTTGTACATTATTAAATACTATAAAAAGTTATCTAATTAGCTATAGAAGTTATAGAATTYCGATGAAAAATATATAAAATGAAATCATTAACAAAGAAACAAGATTTTTCAAACAGTGCACTAAGGAAATTTTAAGAAAAGGGACAGAGTTTTAGGCAATAAAGACAAAATATATAATCTTGAAAATAAAATAGACCATGGAGAAAAGATGTTAAGAGACCATGAACAGAACTTCCAAGAAATATGGGATAACATTAAAAGACCAAATTTAAGATCTATCGGGATAGATGAAGGCATGAAGATACACACTAAAGGAATGTACTTTAGTGTTTTTTCAATGAAAGAAATAATATCAGAGAAGTTCTCAACCCTAAAGAATGAAATGGAAAATCCAATTCAGGAGGATTACAGGACCACAAATGTACAATATTACAACAGACCCACCCCAAGGCACATTATTATGAAAATGCCTATTCTAACAGGATAGAATTTTTAAAGGCTGCCAAAGAAAAAAAATGTCAGATACATTTAGAAGGAAACCAGTCTGAATCTCAGCTGATTTCTCAACATAGACCCTCAAAGCTGGGAGGTTCTAAAATAATACATACAAAGCTCTGAAAGAAAATGGATGCCAACCAAGCATACTATGCCCAGAAAAATTAAGTTTCAGATTTGACAATAAAATAAAAACCTTTCATGATAGGGCTGKGGTTGTGGCTCAGAGGCAGAGTGCTCGCCTTGCACATGAAAGACCCTGGGTTCGATCCTCAGCACTACATAAAAATAAATAAATTAAACAAAGGTATTGTGTCCAACTATAACTTACATATATATATATATATATATTTTTAAAAAAACCTTTCATGATAAACAAAAGTTAAAAGAATTCACAACTAGAAAACCTGCACTACAGAACAATCTTAGCAAAATATTTCATAAAAAATTAAAGTGAAAACCAGCAAAGGGAGGAACTACACAAAAGGAATAATCAATCAAAGGAGAAACTAATTCAAATTAAAAACGAGAAATAAATCAAAATGACAGGGAATAAAAATAATACATCAGTAATAACTTTGAAGAAAACTCATCAATCAAAAGACATAGACTGCCAGATTGGATTTAAAAAAAAAAGACCCAGGGCTGGGGATGTGGCTCAAGCGGTAGCGAGCTCGCCTGGCATGCGTGCGGCCCGGGTTCGATCCTCAGCACCACATACCAACAAAGATGTTGTGTCCGCCGAGAACTAAAAAATAAATATTAAAAATAAATTCTCTCTCTCTCTCTCTCTCTCTCTCTCTCTCTCTCCTCTCTCACTCTCTCTAAAAAAAAAAAAAAGACCCAACATTATACTGTCTCCAAAAGACAGAACTCATAGGCAAAGACATCCACAGACTGAAGGTAAAAGGATGGGAAAAAAACATATCATTCACATGGATCTCATAAACAAGCAGGGATTTCTATCTTCATATCAGATAAAATGGACTTCAAGCCAAAGTTCATCAGAAGGGACAAAGAAGGACATTTCATACTGCTTAAATGAATTATACATCAATAAGTATAATAATCATGAATATTTATGGCCCCACAAATGGAGCATACATACATCAAATAAACCCTTCTTAATTTCAAGAATCAAATAGACCATAACATAATAATACTGGGTGACTTTAACATACCTCTCTCACCATGGGATAGATCCTCCAAACAAAAATTAAATAAAGAAATGATAGAATTAAATAATACAATCAATAATTTAGACTTAACAGACATATTGAGTATTTCATCCATCAATGAATGAATTACTTTCTTCTTAGCAGAGAAGCAACACATGGATCCTTCTCTAAAATAGGCAATATCTTAGACCACAAAGCAACATTTAGCAAATAAAAAAATAGAGATAATACTTTGCATTCTATCAGATCATAATGGAATGAAATTGGAAATCAACAATGAAATAAAAAATAGAAGCTTTTCTAACACCTGGGGACTAAAAAACATGATACCGAGTGACCCATGGATAGCAGAAGAAATCAGTGATGAAATTAAAAAAAAATACTTAAGAGGTAAATGAGAATAGCAATACAACATATCAAACTATCTGCAACACTATGAAGACACTTCTATGAGGAAAGTTAATTGCATTGAACTCATTCATTAAAAGAATAGGAAATTGCCAAATATTTATTTAATATTATATTATAAATATATTATAAATATTTATCTAATATTACATGTTAAAGCCTTAGAAAAAAGAAGAACAAATCATCACCAAAAGCAGAAGACACAAATTAAAATCAGAGCTGAAATCAATGAAATTGAAACAAAAGAAATAATTTAWAAAATTGAGAAAACAAAATGTTGGTTCTTTGAAAAAAAAAATAAATAAAATTGATAAACACATAGCCAAGCTAACAAAGAGTGAGAAAACTCAAATAAAATTTGTGATGAAAAAGGAAATATCATGACTGACACTACTGAAATGCAGATGATAATCAGAAATTATTTTGAAAAATTTTATACTCTAATAAAATAGAATATCTTGAAGACAACAAAGTTCTAGAGACATACGACCTACCCAAACTGAATGAAGAGGACATAGACAATTAAAACRGACCAATTTCAAGTAATGAAATTGAAGATGCTATCAAAACCTACCAACTAAGAAAAGCCCAGGACCAGATGGATTTTCAGCTGAGTTCTACCAGACCTTCAAAGAAGAATCAACACCAATGATCCTCAAATTATTCTATGAAATAGAAAAGGAAGGAATCCTTTCAAACTCATTCTATGAAGCTAGTTATCACCCTGGTACCAAAACCAGAAAAGACACATCAAGGAAAGAAAATTTCAGACCAATAGTCCTCATGAACATGAATGCAAAAATTCTCAATAAAATTCTGGCAAATCACATACAAAAACATTAAAAAAAGACAGTACATCATGATCAAGGTGGGT